GATTACTTAAAAATAAAATCTTAAAAAAAAAAAGAGTGATTCAGATTTGTTTGTATCTAGACTCCAAGAGATTAGATTTAAGGAATGTACAGCCTTAGAAAACTATGTGTGGGTTAGTGCTGCCATGCTTACTGAAAGAAGCTTGTTAAAAGCATAGCTTTTCCAAAGGGCAGATAAAGCCAGATTGCTAAGATGGTCGGAGATCTTCCTAAAATGAATACCTTCATCTATTCTTTTGGAAAGTCCAGTAGCTTTAGAAAAAAAGAAAAGCTGATTAATTCTCCATTCCCTTCTTTTGACAGAGTACTGCTTCGTTTTCAGCAAGGTTCACAATTTGCTAGTTGAAGGGGGCAGATGAGTGTGCTCAGAGAGAATTTGCCTCCCTCTGACCTGTATGTAATTTCCTAACTTGCTACCTGCCATCTAGCAGGAATTTGGGTGTAGAGATTCCATACTCTCCCTGTCACCCTCCAGGATAGAGCTGTCTGCAGAATGGGGCTGTCCCTCCTCATTTCTGGGACCTTTACCCCAAGAGGGACATTGAAACAAGGAAGTGTAAAACTGAAATACAGTCCTTTCCTTACCTTTTCCCATTCTGTCATCTAGTTGCTGCCACTCACCTCTGCTCTAATTCTCTATTCTGTATTAAAAGTTTTCTTTGTGCAGTCTTCAATATTTGTATTTCAGCAGACATCCTGTGTTCTGAGGCATTTCCTTTGTAGGAAGGAGATTCTGGAGAAATCCTACCTAATAAGTCATCCTTTTCTGCGGGGGTGGGGGGTGTCTTATGCCCTTTCGAATAAGAATAGGGCAGGATCTGAGTAGAGAGTTTCAGGCCTCTAGAATGGTTGCTGTGATTTTTCTCAGTGCTTCACAGAATTGATATTACCAGCTCTGTGGGCCTATGTAGTATTGAACTTGGGAATAATCCCTTCTAGGTTGTTATCAGCGAATCTCAAACATCCCTGATATTTGATATCAAGTTTGTAGACTACAGGAAGGCATTGTTTGCACACATGACAAGTTGCATGGAATAATCCCTGTCTGGCATAGGAAATTGGTTCTATTTCATGAGCTTAACAGAAGGAAGTTTTTAATTTTGTTAAAGTATACACTTCAGCAACCTTGCCAGCTTTTAAAAATTTCGTATCTAAGGTCTAATAAACTCCAAAAAAAATTCTTGAGATGCTTCCTGCCCCATTCTTTCTTCTTCCATCTTACCCCCGCTACCTTAAAAAAATTTTTTTTTAATCTTGGAAGTGTGGTAAGACAGAATGTAACCTAGTGTATTCATTACTAACTTTTTGGTACTATTCGGTCTCTATTCTTGTTAATTATAGTTGAAGACTATCATTATATAATGAGGCCTAGAAGACTGACATGGGAGCCAAAATGTTCTGTATAGGTGGCACCTTGTAAATGACTTTGGGAGGCATAAAGTGAAATGGAGAAAGTTCCTTATAAATGTAATCAGTTAATTTTTTGAAGTAACTAACATTATATAAAGAATAGAATTCAGTGATTTATTTGCTACAACAGGAGAAAAATGTTTGCTGGCCTTTTGCTTGAGAACAGGAGCTTTATCTCCAATAAGAATTGGAAATAATGTCCAAGCCATAGATGGGGGTGGTACCTCAGGTGTTTCTAGAGTGTATTTTCCTGCCCTTTTGTTAGTGTCCTTCTCCCCACTGTCTGTCAACTAATCCTGGCCAGGTGACTGCTGGGAGAGATTCATTTCCTCTGCCCTAAAAGCACAGGTGGTAGTTTTGACTTTTTACACCAGGCTCCTCTTAAGTTTCCCCTTAAGTAACTTTTGTTGGCTTTGTCTTTGATTTATGCTATGCTGGATAGCTACTTTGTTATTTCCACATTCACCTACTGGATAGTAAACCAAGCATTTCCACACAGGTAATGCAATCACAGCAGAAGATTTTAAAGTGTTCCCCCAAGGAATTCCCACTGCTTGAGATTCCTGCTCCTGCCTTTGGGGATTTTCACACTCCATGTGGACCTTTACCTTTCAAGTAATGCAGAGAGATTGACCTTGCTGAGTAGCTCTTCTGTCCTTGGAAGCTCCTGATTGCCTGTTAGATAGACAGGTGTGCATGAGTGGTCTTTGAGAGTGAAGAGTTTACATGCCAATCTCCTCTACTGGTTTGCTTAGTATGACTATATCCTGTGCTGATTATGCTCAATCATAACTCTATGTACACAGCATTGCCTGGAATACCTTTCAGGTACACTAGCAGCATACTGTAGTTGTGACATTCCTCAGTTTCATTTAGTTCCTGGGCACTCAGTTGCTTTCTAAAACTGGCAAATGATCCTCTCTACCATATTAACTTCTATATACCAGTCCTCTCTCTTAAATTCTAGGAGAGAATAGCCTAAGAGTTTAGTATTATGACCAAGAGTAATTCCCAGTGTGATAAACCACCAACCCCAGGTTCACATCTGTCTCTTGGTTTTGTTGCTTTCAGTGGCTATAGAAGGCATTGGAGGGCAATAGTATGGTGTGGTATGTTCTTCATTCACCACTGTGGAAGCATTTATGAAGCAGTCTGGAACTAACACTGTTTTTCTCTTTTTTAAAAGATAAATAACACACTGCTTTGATAATGGAAATGGAGTGTGACTTTTAGGCCTTTGGAAAATGTCTTGCTATTTTTGAAATCTACACAAAAATGTTAATTCCTCCAACTAATTATGTATTTAACTAGAATGAATATAAATAGGTACACAGTCCTGTGAATCAGACAGTGGTGTCAAACCAGACTTCTAATATGTATTTCAGTAAAAATGGAAATAATAGTTGATCAGCTGTCCAGATTTTGTTAAGCTTAAAAGCATATGAGTGTTTTGTGTACATTTCTTTCCATTTTCAGCTTTATCTGCCTTAAAAACAAGTGCAAAACAGAGAGCATTCATGCAAGAAGTAATCACACTGAACATGTATCTTAGAACTCAAAACAACCCCAAATGGCTTAAAATGTCTGGATATTGTTTAAACATTTAAATTTTTTGAAAACTGACAGTTCTTCGTAGTTGTTTAGGAGCTTAAATGTCCTACTTAAATATTACAAAAAGTAAAGTCCTAGAGGAATGGGAGAAGCTATCACTAACGGATAATAGTTATGGGTATTACTTATAATATTAGAACAGATTTATTCTCATGGCACCTGACTAGCTCAGTCTGTAGAACATGCAACTCTTGATCTTGGGGTTTTGAGTTCGAGCCCCATGTTGGGTGTAGAGATTACTTAGAAAAATAAACAATAAACCAGATTTATTATCAAATCTCTGTAGTAAAAAGATAGGAGATTAAGTGCTCTGAGGTTATGGATACTGTCAAAAAGTCTATAAAAGTTATAATTACATTATAAACCACAGCCTTATTTTGGAAAATGAAACATCTGAACTTCTGTTGGCAGAAATAGTCAGAGGGGCAGGTTTTTTGGGTAGCTTTGATTCTCAAATGTGACTAACAGTATAGAACCAAACCCCTCTTTTGTTAGAGAATATAGCAAGTAAGTTAATACAGCTGCCTCCTTACAGAATATGCTCATTCCCTGAAGAATATCAGAAAACATGGCCAGGATCCTTTACACTGCTGTTACCCATGTGGCTTCATATTCCATTAATAAAGGTGAAGTTGTAGCTGATATATGAGGCTCAGGTTTTGTTTTGTTTTGTGTTAATGGAAAAAGCCTTTTTGGTGACTTACAGATGAGCTTTAAACAGCTCTTGTCCATGAGATACAGAAGAGGGAGAGTGACTATGAGCCTCAGACCACTACTGCTTTCCTTTTCCTTTTCTTTTTTATAAAATACAACATTGATAGCTGTGAACATCTCTAAGATTTACTGCATCCTTGCTGGTTTTCATGCAGAGCAGCAATATCACATCCCAACCCCTGCTGTTGTTTATATCAACAGCAATTAAAATTTGATTTACTAATCCCTCATTGCTGCCTCTCCAACTCCTCATTTTTCATTTTGTAGAGCCTTAGGACTGTTACAGCTGAGCATCATGATGTTAACACCTCCTCAGCCATCTGGTACAGGGGAAGAGGCACCTAAACAGATTCTTCAGAACAAAAATCACAAATGAGCAAGATCAGAATAGTATGAGATCTAAAAAACAGGTAAAGAAGGAATGAAGAGAGCCTGAATGACAGCAGAACTGAAAGCAGAACCCAAAAAGGTTTTGGATTGAAAGCCCTCCTTTTGCTGGGGAAAGATCTGCCTTTTGCTTTCTAGAAGAAAGCAATTCATAGTAGTCATATCTAAAACTATTTCTAATTCCAGACTAGAGGCCATTAGCTAGAGAGGAATCAGGAAAACATTGTAGCCTTACCACCCGCCCCAACTTTTCATATTTCTTGACCCGTGAACCTGTTTTGAAGATATACTTTTTTCATTCTCTTAGATAAGAAAGTATATTCTAGCCAACACCACTGCTCATTTTATCTTAGTTGAAAGTCTTGTAGAGGTTTATGTTGAGAGTGGTGGGCTCCCTATTTAAGGAAAAGCCGTATTATCTTGATTCCTAATGCTAGGAATTTTCTGTATTGACTACTGTATATTTAGGTAGATCTTTAATCAGTGAAATGATTTGTAAGTATGATTGTTCCTTTGTCCAACAATATTAACATTCTGAATTCGGTCTGCTTAGTGGCTACTGAATTTTACTAACATGGAAGCTAAAATTGATTCCAGCTTTTGGTGGTCTTCCCCCCCACCCCCACCCTTTTGGTGATTATTGTTTTTCTGTGTCTGGGTGAGGATGGTGTGCTGTAGACTGTCATGTATTGGCTCATTAGGCTGAAATGAATGTAGCCACGCTAACTTTTTCTCAGTGCTTTGCAGCGGGTGTTAGTTTAAAATCCAAAATGAAAACAAAACGCTCAGGGACACTAATGTACTTGATTTTGTTATTGCTTGCTGTTGCTTCACCTTTCCTTCCATATCTTGCTCTCATGCTTCCTAATGCCTGAGCAGACTGCATCGTCAGAGCGCCGAGGAGAGTGGGAAATCCAGCCCAGCCGGCAGACCAATACCTCGTACCTGACGTCTCACTTGGCTGCAGACCGCCATGGGGGATCAGTGCAGGTACTTACTGCCTTTATTGCCCTTTCCTGGCCTTCTCAGCTTGGCTGGTGGAATGTTGACTTGCTTCCGAAACTTTGGTTCTTTAGAAAGGAAACTTCCTGCAAGGTTGAACTGCTTCTATAATTAACTGAATATCTGTGCGCTGATTTTCTGCCTAAGTGGACTTGTAAGACTCACTTGTTGATATGATTGTTGGTTGTAGTCATTGACTAAGAAACATCTATATGATTTCTGATACTGATTTCTGGTTAAACTAATCCTATTACCTTGATCTACTCATGATAAATCATAAAAATAATGTCAAGATAGAAGTATGTTAGTGTCAAGTATGTGAATTTTAAAGACTTGAAATGTGTAAAATAAGTAGTTTTCGGATAAAGGACTGCATATGTAGCTCATTCCATGGTGGTATGTGCCTTAGCACATAAGGTGAGAGTGTTAATTGGTCCAAGTCAGCTGTTTCTGAATGAGTACCCGAGAAGTTGGGCTGTTTCTTTTTTCCTTCTGGAATACATGTCTTAGAAAATTATTTCTGATGTCATTTGGACTGTTTTGAAGCTCTGTGGTCTCTAGTACTTAACATCTGTGTCTCTTTACTTTTCTTACATGTCACTGTTTTAATAATCTTTTTTTTTTAAGATTTTTAATTTATTTATTTGACAGAGACACAGTGAGAGAGGGAACACAAGCAGGGGGAGTGGGAGAGGGAGAAGCAGGCTTCCCGCTGAGCAGGGAGCCCAATGCAGGGCTCAATCCCAGGACCCCAAGACCATGACCGGAGCCGAAGGCAGACACTTAACGACTGAGCCACCCAGGCGCCCCTGTTTTAATAATCTTAATCCAAATATGTCTCTCAGACTGTTAAGTGACACCACCATTTGGGGCACACAAGTAAACCCTGAGCCACCAAATCATATAAAGGGATAGACAAACCTTTTGCATGTAGAAATGCATCTTGTTAGGCTTGATTGTCTAGAATATGTTTTTTACATGGAGTGATTCATTGAAGATTGTGTTATTCACAGGAAGTCAGGAGATAGCTGTGGTTCTGTTAAAAAAAAAAACCTCAAAAACATCTAGGGAAAAATGATGGATTGAACACACAGATCTGCTTTCACCTCCTCCTGAAACAGCACTAAAAGAATGATAAAGGGATTTTTTTTGAAAGGCATGAATCCATACAAGGATGGAGAAAACAGAAGAAGCAATAGCAACAAAATGTTAGATGCTGGACAATTATTCAATGACTTAGGAGTCCCAAGAAAACTGAATCTTGAGCCAATAAAGCCTATTTTCACTGGGTAATCCCCTAAAGACTCAGAAGTTGGCCTTCTATAAGGGGAAGTGTGGAGGCCGTGTGCTAAAATAAAGAAGAGTGGTTAAAAGTCTGTTTTCTAAGAGGCCAGAGATCCCTAGATGCTCTCCCCCTCCCCAGCAAAAACCAAAGATTTATTCTTTGGTAAGGGCAAAACAAAGGGTCTATAAATTGGGGGATGTGAGTCACATTTGGGGGTGGGAAGCTATATTGAAGAAAAGGGACAGAAGTCCCACCCCTCTACTCCTTGCAGTCTCCCACTTTTTTTTTCTTTTTCAGTTTTACTTTTTTATAGAGAGAGAATGGGGATGGGTGGGGGAGGGGAGGAGGGAGAGAGAGAATCTCAAGCAGACGCCCTGCTGAGGACGGAGCCCAATACTGGGCTCAATCTATATCATGACCTGAGCCGAAACCAAGAGTCAGATGCTGAACTGACTGAGCCACCCAGGTGCCCCAAGAGAGAGACTCTTAAGCAAGCTCCATGCCCAGTGCAGAGCCTGACAGGGGGCTTGATCTTATGACCCTGGGATCATAACTTGAGCCAGGCGCCCCAGGATGCTATTTTAAAAAGGAACATTTTAAGAGCAAACCAAGAAAAAGAAAAAAAGAGAGAGAGCTCTTGGAAATTAAAAACATAAGAAAAATTAAAACTCAAGAGTTTGGAAGGTCTCCCAGAAAGTAGAACAAAGAGAGAGGTTAAAATGACAGAAAACATTTTTCTTTCTTTCTTTTTTTTTTTTTAAAGATTTATTTATTTATTTGAGAGCGAGAATGAGAGACAGAGAGCATGAGAGGGAGGAGGGTGAGAAGGAGAAGCAGACTCTCTGCTGAGCAGGGAGCCCGATGCGGGGCTCGATCCCAGGACCCTGGGATCATGACCTGAGCCAAAGGCAGACGCTTAACGACTGAGCCACCCAGTCGCCCCAGAAAACATTTTTCAAAAAAAATAGAACTACCGTGTGACCCAGTAATTCCACTTCTGGATATTTATCCAAAGAAAATGAAAACACTAATTCAAAAAGATATATGCACCCCTCTGTTTATTGAAGCATTACTTACAGTAGCCAAGATAGGGAAGCAACCTAAGTGTCCATTGATAGATGAAAGGGTAAGAAGATGTGGTGTATGTGTGCACACGCACGTGCAATATTACTTGGCCATAGAAATGAAGTGTTGCCATTTTTGACAACATGAGTAGACTAGAGACTTTTGTGCTAAGTGCAATAAGTCACATTGAGAAAGAAAAATATCATATGATTCCACTTATCTATGGAATCAAAAAAACGAACAAGAAACTGACTTATAAAAAGGAGAACAAATTGGTAGTTGCCAGAGGGGAGGAGGCAAAAGAGGTGAAGAGGATTAAGGACAAACTTCCCCTCGGAAAATAAATAAGTTGGGGCACCTGGGTGGCTCAGTTGGTTAAGTGTCTGACTCTTGATTTGGGCTCAGGTCATGATCTCAGGGTCATGGAATCAAGCCCCGCATCGAGCTCTGTGCTGGACATGGAGTCTGCTTAAGATGCTCTCTCTCCCTCACCCTCTATTCCCCACCCCCCACTCACTCTCTCTCTGTCTCTCTCAAAAAAAAGAAAGAGGGCACCTGGGTGGCTCAGTTGGTTGAGCAACTGCCTTCGGCTCGGGTCATGGTCCTGGAGTCCCAGGATCGAGTCCCACATCGGGCTCCCTGCTCGGCAGGGAGTCTGCTTCTCCCTCTGACCCTCCCTCCCCTCATGTGCTCTCTCTCTCTCTCATTCTCGCTCTTTCAAATAAATAAATAAATAAAATATTTAAAAAAAGAAGGAAGTCACAGGGATGAAAAGTACAGCACAGGGAATATAGTCAGTGATGTAATAACTTTGGGGGCACTTGGCTGGTTCAGTAGGTAGAGCATGCCGCTCTTGATATCAAGGCCACGTTGGACATAGATTACTTTAAAAAATTTTTTTTAATGTAATAACTTTGGTGACAGACGGTAACTACACTTATTGTCGTGAGCATTTTATAATGTATATCATTGTTAAATCATGTTGTACACCTGAAACTAATATGTGTCAACTCTACTTCAATTAAACATTTTAAAAGGTAAGGTTTAAAAAATGAAATAGTATAAAACAAAAAGATAATTAAGGAGAATAAGAAATTATACAGGGAAGGAAAGGACCATAGTATATACTCCATGGCACTGTAAATAGTTAATGTAAAACTAAGAATTACCTTGTCAGAATTACAGTATAAAAACTATAATGGAAGACTAGAAGGATGGAAAAGGTGAATATAATGCCTAAAAATGAAGAAATCAAGATGCATTTTATTTAGAGATAATGGAGGTAAAAAAAGGAATCAGTTATGAAGGAGAGGAAATGGAGTGGGGGAACGAGACTGCTATTTTTCCTAATGATCCTTGTAGAAATAATTTTTTAAAAGATTTTATTCATTTATTTGAGAGAGAAAGATTGTGTGCACTGGTGGGCGGGGTCCGGCAGAGGGAGAGGCAGACTCCCCGCTGAGCAGGGAGCCTGACACGAGGCTCGATCCTAGGACCCCGAGATCATGACCTGAGCCAAAGGTAGAGGCTTAACCGACTGAGCCACTCAGGCTCCCCCAATCCTTGTAGAAATAATTTATATACATATACATACATGTCAGTTTTCATCTATCACATTCACAGAAATTTGTAAGTTTAATAGCCTATCCATCTACTATTGTTGAAATCTGAGTTACAACTATTTTAGGGGATTATTTGGCACTATCTTTTAAAATCTTAAAATACTGAATTCAGTGAATCCAGTTTCACATAAATATTCCTCAGAAATGCACAGATACCGAAGATACATGTTCTAGAACAATCCTGTCAAAGGAAATGAGTCATATTTGTGATTTTAAATTTAATCACAATAAAAAGGTAAAAATAAGCCTAGCCCAACATGGCGATCCACAAGGCGGCGCCGCCGCAGATCCCGGACACCCGGCGAGAGCTGGCGGATCTCGTGAAGCGGAAGCAGGAGCTGGCGGAGACACTGGCAAACTTGGAGAGACAGATCTATGCTTTTGAAGGAAGCTACCTGGAAGACACTCAGATGTATGGCAATATTATTCGTGGCTGGGATCGGTATCTAACCAACCAGAAAAACTCCAGTAGCAAAAACAATCGAAGGAACCGGAAGTTTAAGGAAGCTGAGCGGCTCTTCAGTAAATCCTCAGTTACTTCAGCAGCTGCAGTAAGTGCATTGGCAGGAGTTCAGGATCAACTCATTGCAAAGCGGGAGCCAGGAAGTGGGACGGAAAGTGATACTTCTCCAGACTTCCACAATCAGGTGAATGAGCCCAGCCAGGAGGACCCTGAGGACCTGGACGGATCTGTGCAGGGAGTGAAGCCTCAGAAGGCTGTTTCTTCTACTTCCTCAGGGGGTCATCATGGCAGCCATAAAAAATGAAAGAATAAAAACCGACACTGGATTGATCTGAAGTTAAAAAACCACGAGCTATTAGAAGACTCATTAGTGCAGAAGCTTCCAGGCTGTATAGCCCTGCTTCCCTCCTCCAACCTCACAAAGTTACATACTGCTCACCTGAGTGCACGGGCCATCCACCTCTGCTTTCCCAGACCCAGTGTCTGTGACTCAGAATAGTTTGTTCTGAAACGTGGTGACAAGTCATTTCTGTAAGACCACATTGGATCATTT